TTTTTTGCTGTACATAGTTAACATAACATAAACTGGTTAATCTACCTCTGCCTGCTAAACCGAGGATCATTTACAACTGATGATTCAGCAATGCTTGGATTTGCACTGACATTGAACAAGAGAAAGCAAAAATGAAAATGAACTTCAAGTGTAAAACTGTTTGGTGGCTATTCAATCAAGGCCAGACGCAAAGTTTTTCTTGACAAAACACCACACATCTCACGCTATCCTAAAACCAACAGTCAGTCAGTCAGCCAGTGAGTACAAAAAAAACTTGACATTGTACTCAAAGTGCAACAGCAGCTAACAGTTTTACCACCAACACAACACTGCACTCCTCAAATTGTTATCAGCTTATTGAGGTTGCACTGGCTCAGTCTGGCTGTAAAATGATCATAATTGCTTGTTTTGATGACGGAGGCTAAGACTGGGTTCATTTAGTGAACAGCAGTATAAAATACAACAACACATCACAGCTGAGAATTGAGACTGAAACCAAAAATTTCTTTACAATCATCTGATTTTGTTTAGTTAAATCAGCAAATACAAAAAATTCAGTGCATAAAAGCAAAATCAACATCAAATCTCAACCATCAAAATGATCCTCCTTTACTCCCTTTTATTCATCCTTTTCACTCTCTTATTTGCCGCCTACATCCACCGTCGGCGAGCAATGTCCATCCTCGCCCGCCACGGAATCCCTGGTCCAAAGCCAAACCTCCTCTTCGGGAACATGTTCACCCACCTAGAAAAAGTCCGTTCAATCGGGAACGTCCGCACCTACAACGAGTACTTTGCCCAGTACGGGAAGGTGATGGGCTACTACGTCGGGAAGAAGCCGACGATCCTCGTCAACGACGTCGAGCTGATCAGGCGGATTCAAATCAAAGATTTCGCTAACTTTGCCGACCGAGAGCAGCCGACACTAAAATACGGCCTCCACCCGAATCCTCGCTTCTTCAGTCACATCATCACCGCCACCGGGCCTCAGTGGAAGATGATGCGCACTATACTGAATCCTACTTTTAGTTCAGCAAAACTGAAGACAATGACCGCCACAATGTCCTCCTGTACGGACATCTTCCTTGATAAGGTGCAAAAGAAGGCAAACTCAGGCGAGGAATTTGACCTCTATCAGGCCTTTCAGCTGCTCACAACTGACGTGATCGCCAAGACCGCCCTTGGCATTGATACTGACGTGCAAAACAATCCTGATGATGAATTCTTCCAAGCCGCCAAGGCTCTCTTTGATATTCGACCAAATGCTCTTTTCCTTGCTTTTCTCTGGTTTCCAGAGCTTGATTCAGTTCTCTATCCACTTAGAAGAGGAATTGAGATAGTCAAGGAGTACCTGAACCTTTCTAGAGATCAGACGCTTTCAAGGTTGGTCGCTGCTGCTATTAAACTTCGAGAGGGTGAAATCAAGAAGAAGAACGACCTTTTGCAGTTGATGCTCGACTCAAAGGCCTCCGATGAGGAGATTAGAAATACCTCACTTGCCAATTTGACTATTGATCTGAGCAAAGAGGAGAAGAGTGAAAAAGAAACTTCTTCTTCTACCACAAACAACTCCACCAAAAAGGACATCAAAGCGCTGACGGCGGATGAGATTGTCGCCAATGCCATTATCTTCTATGAGGCTGGCTACGAAACTACAAGGTACTAAAAAACTTCTTTTTAAACTTTTTTTAAATTTTTTAATCTTTCAGCACCGCCCTCGGCTTCATCGCCCACTTCCTCGTCAACTACCCCGAAGTTCAGGAGAAGGTCCGAGAAGAGGTTCTCGCACTGAACGGCCAATTTGACTACTCATCGCTGGGAAAGCTGCCCTACATGGAACAGGTGGTCTGTGAGGCGATGAGATTCTACCC